ACAAAACGAATATCGAAACGTAGGAAGAAGAAACGCGCCGCTTCGTATTTTACTTCGATCGATCGCCAATTCGCCGATATTCGAACGATCAGAGTTTCCATTAAAATTCAGAGGTTATATCGAAATCGAGACCTCGTGGAAATGATGTCCGGGTTATTACGCGAACGCGGCGGAAACGGTTACGGCGAAAAAGCGTAACGGAGTTCGAAAGCAGTGTCGAAAGACGGGTTTTGCGCGAAAAATGCTCGATGCTTTCCACGGAAATTACGCGTGAAGAGTATTTGCCAGGATATATATATATATTCGCGAGAACGATCAAAGGTTTCGGAGGGGAGGGGAGGGGATTGCTCTCTGCGTAACAGGATCGAAAATCGGTGGTGTTCGATCGTTTCTGCCCGTTTCTCCACTTTTTCATTTCACTCGATACGTCGTTTCGCGCCCATTACTTTATCGCGGCCCCCCATTATCATATATTTGTAGGTCGGGGCGAAACAAACGGATGGACGATGCCGATTAAGCGCCCGTGAAACTGATCTACGCGGCGTGTTTGCGCACGCGCGCACAAAACCTGATTGCTCTAACGAGCGAACAACAAGCGATTTGACCGATATTATATACGCGGCTATCTCTGCGTGTGGCGTGCCTGTGCGCACCACAACTTTGATTACACATGTAACCCCGTTGTATTCATTCATAAGTTTCATATTCATCGTGAGAGAAACCATGTTAACGCGCGTGTATTGCGAATAACGATCGATTTGTAACCCACCGAGGTTTATTGGATCATCAACTTGGTCTGTGATGTATGTTTTTTTTTTTTCTTCCACTCTTTTTCTCTTTTTTGGGAGGGGGGAGGGGAATGATTTATCGATATAGTTTTCGCGTCGATGGGGGAAGCGATCGGAACAGAACGGTTTATACGCGAGTTTCAAGGTATCGAAGATACATCGAAGATATATATATATATATAGCAATGCGAATAATTCGACGGAAATCATGAGAAAAACGCGCTATCGCGTCTCCTTCTGCCGGTTCTCGCTTCCGTTTTCCTATGGTCGCCTTATCGCCCCTGTTTATTTATGGAAATCATCGTTTCCATCGACGCATGTATACGTAAGAAGAAGGAATTCTCTCCATCTTTCTCTCGTGATTTTGCAGTTATTCATGGTCAGGATTAATTATCATAATCCTGTCGCGTTTCCCACGACAAACACTTCTCGCGTTGACTTAACGGACCAGAGTGTATAAATTCGAAAGACTTCCTGGATCTCGTTACTACTTTTCTCATTTACCTTATCGCGATTTCCACTCGCGATAGGGAGAGCGATCCTTCCTTTCTCGAGTTTCTTTCCAACTTATTAAACGATCCTTCGATCCTCTTCTTCAGGGATTCGATGATAATTCGCTTCTCGAATATCTCGCGTGTTCCCCTTTCGCGCGAATGTCAATTACCGATCACCGAACGTGTTAACGACGGTATCGATATCCACCTCGTAACTCGACGGATCATTAATTCTCGCCTTTTCTTCCATATATATATATATATATATATAAAAGTCGAGCATTTATTTATTATAGCATCGACGTTATTTTCTCGAAAACTCTTTCACCGCGCTCGAGCACATCTCCATCCCTTCCTCGCGACGTCTCGTACGTCCCGTCATTTTCTCGTATTATTAATTATCGAGGCTCCTTTTATCGAGTGCATCGAAACTTTTGGCGCTCCTCGTGAGAGCGGATGGGAGAGGCGGGGAGAAGAAAGAGGAAGGGATAGGAGGAGGAGGAGAGGCTTTCAGGCCCGTTCTTCCGGTGCAACAACCCGGAATGCTTTCAGATCTCGTCCGCAAACGACGTCCGTCTTGAACGTGTCGGTACGTTACGGCCCATATCTCGTTCCCCTTAAGCCCCGGTCGCGCGTTCCATCCCCCGATATACCAATTCCAGCCAGCGCTTTACGATGGAACGCGAACTCGCCTCTGCCGAGCCTTTCTCGTGTCTCATACACGCCGGGACACACCACGGAACGGAGGAGGCCGGCGGTGGAGGATCGGTCGCGAGAAGGACGCGAAAGCGACCAGGCGAGTGGGACGGAGACGGAGAAGGAGCGGCTCGCGGCGGAGAGAGAGAGATGGGTGGAGGGTGGGAACGAGAGAGGCGACGAGGCCGGGGAAACGTGGAGCGGAGGAACCGGGCCGTGGAACGTGCACGCGAGAAAGAGAGCTACCCTGACACACATCTACGCGGTTCCACACGTACACGCTCGCGCGCACACGGACGCAGAACGAGAACCGATGCGGCTGTCGCGAGGAAGAAGAGCGGAGACGGGGACAGGGAAGGCGGCTGGTTGGAGTGTCAGGAACGAACCCAGAGGGGGATAGAGGGAGAGGAGCACGAACGAGCTCGGCGACGGACGGTGCGAACGTAGAAAAGAGAAAGACGGAGGGAGAGAGACAGAGAGAGTGAGAGAGAGAGAGTGAGGGAGAAAGAGCGCGCGCGCGGCGGACGAGAAGGATGGCAGAGGGAAGGACGAACGCGGAGCGAATCGAGAGAACGAGCGTAAGCGAGAGAGGATCGAGAGACCGCGTATATAGTACGTGTACCGCGAACGAAGAAGAAAGAGGGAATGAGAGCGCGGCAGAGGCGCGGAAGGGCACGAGCGAGAAAGAAGTATCTAGCGTAGCGCGGCGAGGAACGAGGGACACGGGCAGATAGAACTCGAAGAGTAGTAGCGCGTGCTCACAAACTCAGCCAGCGCCTCTCGCAGAGCGTGTGTCTCCCCGCCCTCCTCCGCCCCTCTGCCTCCGATGCCGGTGCTACGCTCCTTTCCTATGCTCTACTACGCGTTCGTCGTCGTCGTCGTCGTCGTCGTCGTCGTCGTCGTCGTCGTCGTCTCTTGGCCCCGCCGCGTCCGTCTAACCAACCTCATCCCTTGCTTCCACCTCCTCTTCTCTTTGCCTCCGCTTCTGCCGCGCTCTATCTCGGTCCGCTACGCTTCTCTCCCGGTCCACCCACCGACCCACGAAACCGCTCGTTCCCAACTCACCCCACGTATACCGCCGGCTCTCTGTCCCTATTACTCGCCTCTGCACCATTCTCTCTTTTTCTTGCCCCCATGCTTTCTTTTTTCCTCCGTCAACCTTTTCTCTCTACCTACTACGGTTATGCTCTTCTTATTTATGCGCCGCCTTCTTTCTCCGCTCTCTCCAGTACGGAGAGTAGCAGCGAGATAGGAGAAAGAAAGGGGAAAGAAGTTCTTTTCTCGCGTTTTTCTACTGACTTCGCTTCGTTTCGTTTCGTTTCGTTTCGTTCTTTCGATCTCTCGGCTTTCGTCCCCCCTTCGAGCTGTCCCCCTTCAGCCTGCTACGACCTCTCTGCGTCGTATCACGTTCGGCGGGTGCAGGCAGCATAGGCGGCCAGAGCAAGCCGACACGACAGCCAGCTCTCCGCGATTATCTTTTGTCCGATCGTATACACATACATACACACCACGCATATACATGCGCGTGTGCACGTCGCTACACCACCGATCCGTGTGTTTGTTTGCGCGCGGGATGAAAACGCGAGCGCGAACAACAGAGACGCACGCGATGGATACACGTAGTAGTATCGGTTCAGTCTCTCTCCTCTATGCGTCTGTCTGTCTTCTTCCACTGTGTCGTATACTCGTATACTCGTCGTTCGTATTCCTCGTTCTCGTTGTCATTGTCGTCGTTGCTTCGCCTCGTGTGTTCGTCGCTCTTCCCGTGTATGCGTGTATTCGCGAGTCTCGCCGCGCGCCGCCAGCGTAGCGCCGCGACGGCTAGAACGACGAGCTTTATATTATCGTCGCTCCCGGCGATGCCGCGCGTAACACGGGAACCAGTAGCGGTAGCGGTCTGCTCTCCTCGTTAGAGCGACGGAGAAGGATATCGAATGGTGGAGGGCGAAGGGTGGGGGAGGGGAGGGAAGAGAAAGAGACGCAATGGGAAACAGAGAGAAAGAGAGAGAAGGAAGGAACGCGGCGAGTCTGGAATTTTGCGCAGCTCTGCGGGTCTCGATGGCCGGGAATATGGGTATTATCGGTGGGATGCTTTTTGAAACTGTGGCTCGTTTGCTTCTCTTTCTCCTCTCACTCCGCCTCTACCTACTACCACCTCCACCTGTGCCTCGTCCTCCTCCTCCTTCTCCTCCTCCTCCTCGTCCTCCAACTCCTCCTCCACCGTTGCTCCGCTCTTCTAGAAGGTTGTAATTATTTGCGCGCCTGTATGTGTGTGTAGGCGCGTTACGCGGTCGCGTAGCTCGATACAAAAGTAACGCTGTCGGGCATGCGGCAAATCGACGGTTCGCCGACTCGGGATCGGTTCCGTGCTCGTACATCTGCGCGTGTATGTACGGTATATACACTGTGCCCGGTAAACGAGATTTATGCCCGAACGAATCTTCATACCGCGTTATACGTGCGCTACGCGGATGGCTTTTGGCTGAGCCACGTCTGCGCATGCGCTCGCGTACACGCGTGGACCCCGTCGGTAATTACAGGGAATATCGCTTTGGTGTTTCAAGCGCGCTCTAAACCGAGACAACGCTAACCGAACGGTACTTTACGAAGACCTTAAAACCACGGGACATACCGAGAACTATAAATAAGGCGAGGCGCGCTTACACACGCGTGCCTGCGTGCCCAATGCGCGCGTCTTTATAGATAGTATACTCTTACAGAGAAGCGAGCGCTAATTGTGGAAATTACACTCTTGTTCGAAGGTTTCCGAGTACTTTTCAAACCGAGTTCCGTCCGAGTAGGATGGAGCCGGCTATACCTGCACGGACGCGATCATCGAATGGAAGTACGGTTTTGAACACGTTCAGGCTGAGAACACACTGACAAGCAGATTTAGCGAAGAGTAACGCGCGTTTGCTCTCGTTCTCCTCGCTTTTGCCAGTCTGTTCCACTCGCTACGCTATGATTTACTATCGCGCCGTTACTCGGTGCACACTCAGCACACGTTTCTATTTGATTCCAGGAGTTGGAGCGACCGAAGGGAGTCTTTAAGAGGTTCCTGCGCGATGTCGACGTCATCCAGGGTGAGTTTATTCGAAATTTCGTTCGTATATTTATCGTGTATCTCGAGTGCTGCGAGAAAATGGGTCGTAATTGTGTAATTTCGCGATGAAATACAGGATCCAATTATCCGAATAAACATCAAGGTTCGAGAGATTAGGCCATAACCGTAGCTATTTTACATTTTAATCGAAAATTTCAATCTTATAACCGGTCTGTTAATCGTACGTCGATTCGTATTACGAAAGCTTAGCTTGCCGATTAAAGCAGTTTCCAAGCCTACTCCAGAGAACGCTGAAAATTTGACTATCCTTATGTTAACGACCTCTGCGAGACGATCGGATTAAGTTTATCAGATGTTTCTCGATGGATACTTAACACGTTAACCACGGTGAACTTCGCGATAACGGTTTTCCATGCTTCGTTTGTTGCGTGTAAATCACCCGTTCCGTGGCCACGTATAATTTGTACGTTATGTGCTCGACACTCGGGCAACCCTTTCTATGACTACTGTTTCATCGTTCGTCTCTCGCAAACGCGTAAGTGTACGAGCGCGCGCGCGCGCACACGTATGCGTGTACGCATGTATGCGCGAGTGCGAGTAACGAGAACTCCCCTTCTTTAACAGCGCAACCTCGTTATCTGTGCGAGAAAGCTCGATTATGTCGTTTCACGCACCAATGATCGTTTTGGATTTCGGATCGATGCGCGTCGAGGGATGGGAGCGTAGACCTGGTTCGAATTAATGTTAGGATATTTTGTCGGCAATTAACGAAAGTGGAAACTTCCCTTCCCCGTTCGACGACGACACGATTCTCCAATTTCGTCAACGTTTCTCGCGGACGTTAGTTTCTTGATAACAAAGTTGGAAAGTATTTTAGAAGATTCCTTTTATCAAGCGTCGCTTATAAATCGATAACAGCGTCGTATCGTTTATTTTTTTTAACTTTATTTTTCCTAACTGTATGGATCTTTCGAAAGTCGACTAAAAAAAAAAACGTGAGAAAAATTTTAATCGAATTTATCAATTAATTCCATCGACGCGTCTCTCTTTCCAGATAAATGGTTAAAAATCTAGAAATGAAGAGAAAAGGAAAAATGGAGAGAGAAACTGGAATACCCTATTCGCACGATATTACGTTCAGCGGGCACGTCGAATTCCCGCGAGTCGAATAATTTGTTAGCGGATGACGTCAACGGACAGTTCTGTTTCTTAGGCGGCACACACGTACGCGACGTACGGACACGCGTGCACCGTGATTGCTGTCCGCGCATGCTGCACCTTGCGCATGGAAATGTAGAAACAGCCCAACGTGCTCGCGAACTCGTCGCTTGGAATGAGTCAACCCGCCGCGTTTCTTCAACGACTCCGGATTCCTCGTCTCGCTGATCGAACCGTTCCACCTACGCTTTCTCCCTCCCCTCCACTTTCCATTTTTCTCCCCCTATCTTCCTCCTTACATTCGCGTAAGCCCACTCGGACGGTTCCCCCTTTTTCTCGAACGTTTACTCGAGGCCTAGAAGAACTCCTCGACGCATAAACCACGCGATCACGTTCCCTATATACGTAGTATCCATCTTCCCACGTCCGTCATCCGTGGCTTTTCTTTTTATCGGGGAATAAGCGGCCGGAATGGAGAAAAAAAAAGTTAGGTTTTCGCGGCGATCCTCACGTCCCTTCCCACCGAATTTACGACGCAGATAACTCGGGCTAAGTACGATCTCAACCGACTGGAGGGGCGTAAAATATTTTATGGTTACAGTAAATTTTATCGGTTTATATCTCTGCTCTCCGTTAGTCTCGTACTAATGCACGACGATCCTCTCCCTCCCGATGCGATTAGCCAACTATTTCGACCAACGATTCGCCCTTGTTTCCGCGATTCCTAAATCGTGGTTGCGATTAAATTTTCAACGTTCGATCGATCCTGGATTGTATCCCTTCGCGCGACGATTATTTAATGAAGAGAGAGAGAAAAAAAAAAGAAAACAGAGGCGAGAGAAAAATAATTTCTCGTTCAACGAGAGTTCTTCCTATCTTTCCCTCCCTAACTCTCGCCATTTTCTCGTTTTATTCCGCTTCGTATCCCAAATGCAAATCCCATTACTTTTTGCCCTTTGTTTCTCCGCGAATCGCGTCCTCTCTTATGTTGGCCCCGCGATTTTAAAATTCGCGCTTCGTACGTGTCACCGTCCACCACGACGCGACCCGAATCGATAACTCGGTCGTCTTTACGTGTATATGTGTATATATATATATATATATATATACTCTCCAGAGAAAAAGAGCCGAAAATCGTGACTCATGCTCCGCTCTTCGACCTTGAATCGATTGGTATCACGATATTCCAAGTATCGTCCAACGAATTTATCGCAACATGTTCGCTTTGCGAAAAAGGTTTGCGATTTCCTCGATTTTTTTTCGTCCTTTGAACTCTTCCCATTGTTTCTCTTCTCATCACGATAACGCAGATTTGGAATTTACGCGGACTCGGAAAAACGTTATCCACAGTTTGCATAAATTATCGTGTAATTGCCAATTAATTGTTAATCGAATGGGAATATATAGGACGAATATGTGGAAAAGATCAAGTTCGAAGTTTCATTCAATTTGGCGTGGCTCGTTAAGAGTATTTATTAGTTCTCGAGTTCTACCGCGATAAATCTAAAGGAGGAGGATTATATACGTATATATATACATTAGAAGGCTTCTCGAATTAGGCGAGTGTAGTTTTCAATCGAAGCTTCTTCTCCTATTAATCCTTACCTTAAAGTAGTTGTATAAATATCACTTCGTTAATCGAAGTAACTTCTTCCTTTTTTTTTTTTCTAACTTTAATAATAGAACAGGAAGGAAATGAAGAGAATAGAGGAAGAACGAAGATCGTTTCACACTAGATACTCGCGGTAGGAGGATGTTTCACCGATAAGAATTCTACGTCATATACGTATACCGTGCAATAAACTGAAAAAGAAAAAAAGAAGGAAAATATCAGCACGACGCGAGGAGAAATTATTTTTCGAAATAAAACTGTCATCATCCCTTCCCCTTTTCAGAATCTTCAAAAGACTTCAAAAACGTGCAAAACCGACAAGTATCACACTCGCGCTCGCAATTTTCCATTACTTGAACGAGATTCGTCAACTCAGTGGGTCAGCCTCCTAGCTCTCTGGGAAATTCTCCACGGTGTACACCTACCCCGGGACGAAACAACGAAACGAACACGCGGCCGCCTGGCGGAGTTAATCTAAGCGCGGCGGTGTCACCAAAGGGTTAATTGGGAAGGAGCAGCGAGCCGCGAATACTATACGCGGGGCTACCTTAAAAGCGAGAGACGAGTCGCGAGGCGACGGTCGGGCGTTGCGGGGCGAGGCGGCGAGGGACGGGAGAAAGAGGGAGACAGACTAGAGCGGAGCGGGAGAAAGGGAGATGGGGTGGGGGAAAGGAGGAAAGGGAAGGGAAGAGAAGGGAGGGAGAGGCGAGGTATACAGGGTGTTCGGACGGAGCAGGTAGAAAATTTAAAGAGATTGAGGAGACAAAAAGGAAACCTTAATATGAGATAAAACATTTCTCGAGAAACTTATTTCTTAACGCTTATTCGCCTCCAACGGTCGGTTACGGCGAATGTTTGTATTTAAAATTTTGGTGTTTTTCGTTCTTTTGCATGCAAAACGATTACCTAAAATATACGAACTCGCAAAGAACGATAAAAATTTGGATAAAACGTTCAAAATAAAAATAGGAATACGAATGAAATGGCGAATAATTCTGGCCGGTTCGATTAACTTCGATAAACAATTTAATTTTGCTCATTTTCGCCCACTTTCGGCTTATCGCGAAAATTAATTTCGATGAAACTTTTTTTTGCCAAACTTTCCCGATTCTGTTCCAATTTCCAACAAACGGTTTAAATTTTCCTTCTTTCTTTCTTCCCACTTGATCCGGAACACCGTGTATAAAGCAGGAAAAGAGAGAGAGAGAGAGAGAGGAATGGTTGCGGACGCATGAAACGGCGTTAGCTGCGCACGCCACCGTCTCCGCCGGAAATTATGCCAGCACTCGGTTTCTACGTTCGGTGTAAACGAACCGAGGTAACGGCGGCCGGCCACCGTCGACCATGCCAGTGCGGAACACGCCCCCAGGAACTGCGTTTCTCGTGGGCGACGGCCTGAAATATCGAGCGCCTTGCCCACGTATACACACGCGAAAACGATGGAACCCGACCGACCAACTGTCCGGGGAGAAAGAGAGAAACCGGCCGTGGTTTGCCCGCCACGAAAACGAGAAGGAAGCGGCAATCGGGACAGGTTCGACGCGAACGATGGATCCGAAAGGGAGAAATTTATAGAGTAGGGGGGAGAGGGAAGGGGGCTTTCTAGGGATAATTTTCCATCCTCCTGACCCCTCTTCTTCGGTTGGGGAAAATCTCTCTCTCTTCTCTCTCTCTCTCTCTCTCTCTCTCTCTCTCTCTCTCTCTTCATCCCGATTTAAAGAGAGAGAAAACTGCGTTTCGACGAATTTGCGTCGATGATGCTCGCATGAACGAACATTTTTTGATATTTTCATTAGGAATTATACGTATTGAAAATAGCACAAGTGATCGATATAACGAACGATATCCACGTAATCCACGGATGCGAATGAATAGTGTGTACGTTAAGGATAAAACGATCGTATCTGCGCGCAAGACGTTTAATTATTTAAATGTTTAATCGTTAGATCGATGATTTAAAACGATTCCATTTCCTTTTAATCAACCTCGGTGTCTCTTCATTAACCGATCGATAGATTAGTCAAAATTACACGTCGCGTAATGGACAAAAGAGTAGGGAAAAAATAAAAGGAGAGAAAAAAAAAAACGTGTAATAGAACGGTAGCTGGACGTTGTAAAATCGAGGGAGGGGGAGGGGGTTATTATCGTTCACCCTGCTAAGGTTCATCGAGATCCAAAATCGCTAAGTTTTTTAAACGCCGCGATCACGTACATAGCGCGCGTTACATAGTCACGTTACGACGAGGTGG